GCAAGCGCTCTACCACTGAGCCACCTTCCCAGCCCTAGAGAATTTTTTAAAACTAGCCTCTGACATTTGTCAGTAATTTTATATTTTTATAAAGGATGAAAAAAATTCAGATTGGAAATTTGTAGGACTTAAGAAGGGCTTAATCTGTGTTTCTCTTAATCACCCATGTGATAGTGAATGGATTAAGTGGGTTCTTTTCTTCATGCTGTATTTATAGCATTAAAATTATTGGAAAGGAGGATACTTGTTGGAAAAGTGATGACTTTTATCAGTTACTAAGCTCTGTTTAGTACTTCTAGGACATGCTGAACCTAGCTAGCATCAGTTTAGCCTGATGCAAGTATGCTGCATGCAGTCTTACTGCTTGAGTAAAAGACCAAACAAAAACAAAGTGGATTGTTGTTTACTTCATTTCAATGGTGATTATAAAACTAGACTTTCAGTAGTTTAAATAGAGATTAGGATAAAGAGAAAGAATTTTTATGGCCTTAGTCTCCTCTAAAAACTCTCTTCTGTTAGTCACCTTGGTTTTTCTAGCTTCTCAGCAAATCAACCTTTATGTGAATGAAACATGGTTGGCTCAAATGTCTGGAGACTTCTTGATGGCCAAGAAAATGACTTTGTATAAGATGAAATGGAAATGATATATTTACATTTAGGTTCATAACACCATAAGTGGATGAGGGTTTTGGTTTCCTATCAAAAATGCCAACATCAGTCATAGCCTAATTTTTGGCACATGAAGGTGTTTTTTTAGAAGATAGATTCACAAAATGATGGAGGTGCCTTTCCTGGCAGCAGAGGATCCATAAGATTCTTTTGGAGACCACTGTCATATGAAAGAACCTGTGATCATAGTAACTTCTCAAGTGGAGCTTTAAGTGTACATCTGGTGGGTTTTCTTCTGAAGTCAGACACCTTTTTGAGTCCTTCCTATGTGGAAGTCGTGTGCTATTTGGTCCCTTGACAGTATTCTTTTCCTAGCCACTCACTATGCTGTAAGAGTCCTCCATCTTTTTTTCCATCCCAGGGGAAACCTGCTCTTTAGAAAAGCTGTATTTAACTTTCTGAGGCTACTTGTATTTACTATAAGCCCATCTGACCAACATAAAGCCATTAATGACTGCAGTTAACAATTCTCCCTCCAGTTTCTTGGTCTCTTGTTATGGGCATAATGTTAGCTCTATGAAGAGATGCTTAAGCTACCAGAGATTGTTAGGATGAAGTATGAGGAACCCTGAACTTTTGATAGTTTGGATATAAGCACAGTTCTTACTGCATTGTTCAGATGAATGCCCCAAACTGCAGTAGAGTCCACTTAGCTCTACTGGTTTACATGAGTCAGTAATGCTGACCAGAATGGGCTTTGTGGTGCCGTGTCTTTAATAGCATTTACTTACTGCATCTGCAGTTCTGTACTGGAGAAACTAGTAATTCTTAGCTTTCCTTTTATTTGTAGCAATCTTGGTGTGGGGTCAAAATATGTCCTGACACTGGTCAGCCCTGTATCTGCTACAAACTCTCCCCTTGCCACATCAGTCTGGGGTGCTCTTTGTCTCCCAGAACAGATTACTGAGGAGTTCTCCTGTGTCTTGGTCTGTTCACATTAGCTGGGACTCAAGTCATCATCTATCTTCTCTGTCTTCTTCCCAAATATTGTATGTAGGTGTTAGAGAAAAACGGGTGTTTGAGCCACTTTCCAGCGGTAGGGCTGAATCTTTTGGTTTTATACTATGGCCTGAAAGGAGTAGCCCTAGCTGGAGGAGGTGCTATCCAGTTTGGAGTAAATGATTGCCTTCAGGCAATTTGCAGTGCAGGTAAGTACTACATGTCTCCTCATGGTACTCTGATGGAGCATTTTTTGGAATATCAGGCTAACTTCCAAATGTCTTCTCTATAAGTATTTTGTAAGCATACCAATATAAAAATAGGATGTATAGCAAGTGCAGACTAGACCAGCAAGCTGAAAGATGAGTGAATTGTTACTGCATATATAGCAGTTTAGTGCTTCATTTTCATACTGTAACTGCTTGATAAATGTCCATTGCTGCTATTTTCAGCACTAGTATTATTTAAAATGCAATGTGCGAGGTTACTGTGGAGATCTATCTGTAAACTACTATCTCTAGGTAAAAACAGTTGATTCTTTTTATAGGTTATTCCTAATACAGTGGTTTGACATTCATAATTGGCTTTAGTCTTAGAGGCCAGTAAGAAGAATTGTTTCTTAAAACTTGTTAGGAAATCATAAAATGCTTTCCCTACCCATGGTCCTTTCCAGTCAAATGCAGTTAGAGGTTAGAAAAGGAACCTGGGTACTGATAGCTCTGTCTGTAATCCTAGCTACCCAGAAGGCTGAGATCTGAGGATCATAGTATAAAGCCTGTCCTGGCAGGAAAGTCTGAAAGACTCATCTCCAGTTCAGTACCCCTCCCAAAAAATGGAGCTGTGACTCAAGTGATAGAAAGTTAGGTTTGAGAGGCTGGGAAGATGGCTCAGTGGTAGAGTGCTTGCCTTGCATGCCTGAGGCCCTGTGTTCGATACCTCAGCACCACATAAGCAAAAAGAAAAAAAAAGTCGGAAGTGGCGCTGTGGCTCAAGTGGTAGAGCGCTAGCCTTGAGCTGAAGAGCTGAGGGACAGCGCCCAGGCCCAGAGTTCAGGCCCCACGACCAGACCCAAAAAAAAAAAAAAAAAGTTAGGTTTGAACAAAAAAGTTCAGGGACAGTACCTAGGCCCTGAGTTCAAGCTCCAGGATAAGCACTCATTTAATAATAATAATAATAATGACATTAGAAAAGGAGAATTACTGATTGATTGCCCCTTTTATATTGTTTTAAGTTCTGATTATGAGAACTCTTAGGTATTTCTATGTAAATGCTTTTATTTTTTTCCTCTTTAAATATCTTATGAATAGCAAGACTGATGTGGACCTTCTTCATGATACTTGACTCGGGTTCTCCTTTTCTTAACTCCATTGAACAATCCTCCAGGACAACAGTACTTTCCAAATATTTATACAGAGTTATGTTTACTTTCTTGCAGTTGAACTGGCAATGATCATGGACCGTTTGTATGGTGGTGTTTGCTATGCTGGCATTGATACGGACCCAGAGCTGAAGTACCCCAAAGGTGCTGGCCGCGTGGCGTTCTCCAATCAGCAGAGTTACATTGCAGCCATCAGTGCACGCTTTGTGCAACTTCAACACAATGACATTGACAAACGGGTAAGCAGTCATCCAGGATGGAATTATTATGGGAAACAGAAACAGTGTTTTGTGAAATGCTGGGAAGAAAAATGCCTTGTGATTGTAAGTGTACAATCCTGCCTTGCTTGACTTTAGTCCATGAATAATTCATCTTGGCTGCCTGAAAAAGAGAGCATCTTGGTATTAAAGAACATAGGTTCCAGCCAGGTGCCAGTGGCTCATTCCTGTAATCCTAGCTCCTCAGGATGCTGAGATCTGAGGATTGCAGTTCAAAGCCAGCCCAGGCAGGAAAGTCCATGAGACACTTATCTCCAATTAACCACTAGAAAACTGGAAGTGGCGTTGTAGCTCAAGCGGTAGAGTACTCACTTTGAGCTGAATAACTCAGGGACAGCACCCAGGCCCAGAGTTCAAGCCCCACAACTAACAACAACAAAAGAAGAACACAAAGCCGGGCACCAGTGGCTCACGCCTGTAATCCTAGCTACTCCGGAGGCTGAGATCTGAGGATCATGGTTCAAAGCCAGCCCGGGCAGGAAAGTCTGTGAAACTCTTATCTCCAATAAACCACCAGAAAACCGGAAGTGGCCCTGTAGTGGTAGAGCACTAGCCTTGAGCTGAAGAGCTGAGGGCCCAGAGTTCAAGCCCCACTACCGACAAAAACAAAACAAAACAAAAAACAGGTTCAATAATCCTCTTACTGCACACTCCAAGATTGCACATTGAGTGTGCTGTTATAAACTATGGCAAAGGGGCTGGGAAGTGGCCCAGTGGTAGAGCGCTTGCCTTGCATGCATGAGGCCCTGGGTTCGATTCCTCAGCACCACATAAACAAAAAGAAAAAAGCCAGAAGTGGTGCTGTGGCTCAACTGGTAGAGCGCTAGCCTTGAGTTGAAGAGCTGAGGGACAGTGCCCAGGCCCAGAGTTCAGGCCCCATGACCGGACCCAAAAAAAATTAAAATTTAAGTTAAAAAACTATGGCAAAAAAGCCTATAAATGCACAATTATGTAAATATACTAAAAAAAAATCTAATCGCATGTTTGTTTGTTTGTTTGTTGTCAGTCATGAGGCCTGAACTCTGGGCCTAGGCACTGTCCCTGAGCTCTTCAGCTCAAGGAGAGTGCTCTACCACTTGAACCACAGGGCCACTTCTAGTTTTCTGGTGGTTAATTGGATAAACAAGTTTCTCTGGGCCTAGGCACTGTCCCTGAGCTCTTCAGCTCAAGGAGAGTGCTCTATCACTTGAACCACAGGGCCACTTCTAGTTTTCTGGTGGTTAATTGGATAAAGAAGTTTCATGGATGTTCCTGTCCAATTTGGCTTTGAACTGCGATCCTCAGATCTCAACCTCCTGAGTAGCTAGGATTACAGGCATGAGCCACTGGCTCCCAGCTTAATTGCATGTTTCAATGGGTAACTTTATTAGATCATACTCAGTCCAAATGTACATGCTTAACCCAGCCTGCCAGCAATAGCTAAGAGAACAATTCAAATATCACCATCTATTAATTCAGGAAAAGTTTATCAAGAGCCTCAGCCTGAACCAAGCCATCAGTAAGCACTGGAGATCAAGCAGAAAATGAGTCAAAGGTGACAGTAGAAAGTAGTAAAGCTTCATAATGGACATGTGTACTGCCTTACAGTAAATGCCTCAAAAACTTCCTTTACTTAGCAGCAGTAACTGCCACTATACAACTGCACAGGCATATATTCAAGGCTTGGTGCTATTCTCCTAGTCCGTTTGCTCTCTTTTTGTGTGTGCCAGTAATAGAGTTTGAATTCAGAGCCTCTTGCTCTCCCTTGTTTGTTTTGCTCATAGCTGGTGCTCTACCATACTCTTTGACTTCCAGCTTTTTGCTGGTTAATTGGAGCTAAGAGTCTCTCCATTTATCTGCCTGGGCTGACTTCAAACTTTCTCAGATCTCAGTCTCCTAAGTAGCTAGGATTATGGTGTAAGCCACAGTGCTGGATTTCCCCTTTTATTCTACTAATATAGGTTCCAGGTTAGCTCCTACTATTTTCATTAAAAAGGAGTGGAGGAGAGGGATAAGAAAGAGAAACAGTGGGAATGAGTATGATCAGAACATATGATATGCATGTATCACAATGAAACCCTTCACAAAATGCACTAGTAGAAATGTGGAGAATTTTCTTAAACTTTTTAATTTCTTGTACTGGTCCTGGGACTCGAACTCAAGGCCTAGACACTGTCCCTGAGCTTATTTTCCCCCCTCAAGACTACTACTCAACTACTTGAGCCACAGTTCCACTTCCAGCTTTTTTGGTGGTCAACTGGAGATGAGTCTCATGGACTTTCCTACCCAGGCTGGCTTTGAACCATGATCCTTAGATTTCAGCCTCCGAGTAGCTAAGATTACAGGGGTGAGTCACATGCACTCAGCTAATTTCTTAATTTTTCAAAATGAGTCTTTATATGCTCTGCATTTCTGTCATCTCTTGAGCCAGCCCAACTGGCCTTGTCCTCAGGTATAATGAGGGTGAGGGTCATTATACTCACTGCTGCCTGGGTAATACACGCCTTTTCTCCAGGTCTCAGTTTATCGTAATAGCTTTAGGAATGTTTCTCCACCCGCCCTCCATTGGAGTTTACATCTCCCGCAGAGATTGTCATATACTATTTCTTGTGATAGTACATCCCACTGCAATGAAATAAGGCCTTGTTTAATATTCATTTACTCTGACAGACTATGTAATCCATGAGAACAATGATTTATATGTCTTTCAGATTTACTCCTATGTACTCAATATCACATATATTGGACACACTATGAATGAATGAATGTGATTTACTGAATGAATGCTTACAGGAGGCTTCATAGAAATCCTTTTGTGTCAACATTTGGCAGATCCATTTGTCCACTGAGTGTACTTTACAGCTTTCTCTTTCTACTTAGTTATGAACATTCAGTTGAGTAATTAAAAATAGGTTTGGCTATTTATTTTGTTTACTAAATATGTATACCAAACCTGGATGTAACCTTAGGCATAAGATCCAACCCCCTTTACTCTTTTTTTTTTGGTTGGTCATAGGGCTTGAACTCTGGGCCTGGGTGCTGTCCCTTAGCTCTTCAGCTCAAGGCTACCACTCTACCTCTTGAGCCATAGTGCCACTTCTGGTTTTCTGGTGATTAATTGGAGATGAGTCTCACAGACTTTCCTGCCTTGGCTGGCTTTGAATCACGATCCTCAGATCTCAGCCTCCTGAGTAGCTAGGATTACAATTGTTAGCCACCAGCGCCCGGTCCCTTTACTCTTTAAAACAGAAGAATCTAGCCAGGCACTGGTGACTCACACCTATAATCCTAACTACTCGGGAGGCTAAGATCTGAGTATCTCAGCATGAAGAAGCCAGCCCAGACAGAAAGGTCCCCGTGAGACCCTTATCTACAATTATCCACTCAAAAAAAAAAAAAAAGTGGAGCTGTAGCTCAAGTGGTACAACACTGGCCTTAAACATAGAGGCTCAGCAACAGTGCTGAGTTCAACCCCCCACAACTGGCAAAACTGAAAAAAGAGAGAGAGAAGAATCTAGGTATTTGGAAACTTTCTCAAGAAGCCTGACAAGTAGGGACAGAGCACCTGCTTATTTTGGTTTTTCCCTTGTTCGGTTTGTTTTATTGTGCTGGTGTGTGTGTGTGTGTGTGTGTGTGTGTGTGTGTGTGTGTGT